TAAAATAACTGCTATCTAACTGCCTGGGAGAGGGGAGGCCTTCCCCGTAGGCCTGTCAATGATAGCGGGAAACACGTCTTACTGCACTTTTCTTTCTCACATAGCTGTAGCAAACTTAGTCGACAGCGCACCGGCTGTCGGTGCGAAAGTGCGTTTTTTACATAGTTCCCTCGCAGATTTTTGTCGCTAATGGCACTGTTTTTTCCGGCAGATGCTTCTAGCTAAGAGAATTGTGACTGGCCACCATGACTGTTAGAAATTATTACAATGACTACCAATCCATGTCCAAAAAATTCAGCACTCTAAATGCTTCGGTTGCGGAGCTGTGTCAAATTTTACGTGTTAGTACGTGAGCAGAAATGTGGCCATCGTCTCCACTTGCGCCTGTTCAAACACTGTCCTCGGCCACGCCCAGAAAACTTCGGCACCACAGCTGATCTGTTTGCGGAGTTGCATCAGATTTCATGTGTCCATGCGAAAAGGGAAACGTGGATGTCATCCCCACCTATTTTCTCCCAAACGTTGTCCTGGATCAAGCTTAGAAAGTTTCAGCGCCCCAGCTGCCCGAGTTGCGAAGTTATGCCAAATCTCACGTGTTTCGCACGTGACTTATACGTAAAACATGAAAGAAACGTGGAAGTTCTTCCCAAGTTCACTTGGACAAACGCCACCACTGACTATGCTCAGAAAGTTTCAGCTCTCTAGCTGCTTCAGTCCTGAAGTTGCAAAACTGCCTGCGTGAAATTTCAAGTGTCGGTAGGTAAGATGTAGAAGGACTAGAAAGCTCAAATTACTTCTCTGGATACATCAGTGAGCGGCAAATAACGCCGCAAAATTACAGCTCTCTGCAGCTTCTCGATCAGCTTAAATTTGGAGTTGGCGCGATGCCAGTTCAAACCTTGACGTGTATGTACGTGAGATCTGGAGGTGTATGAAGGCTAAATTTGAAATTTTTTGACTGGGCATGGCCAAAGAACACCTCCTAGAAGTCTCAGCCTTCTAGCATGCACCAGTCTTGAAGTCGCTTCCCATCCCCTCCACCCTCCCCCTCGCCCCCCTCCCCCCCAACCAGGAAAAAAATATTTCATGTGCTCGTACCATGTTAGCATGAACGCTCATTTTCAGGAGAGAGGCCCGTACATATTTGTAGATAAAATTGCCAAAGTTTCAGTGCTGTAGCTTTAGTAGATCTCGAGATGAAAACTCGGTACAGACACAAACACACACACACACAGATATACAAACATGCAGACACGCATACACAGACAGCCCCTTGACAATATGCGTTTTTGCATTGCATAGCTGCAAAAAAACGCGCAAAAACCATCACAGCATTTCAGTGATCTCTGAAACGCGTTGCTCATTTGATCACGAAAATACATTACACACACATCTTTTTCTGCACTTCTCTCTTGTTCGCTCCAAGTATTCGCGTTGTGCTTCCATCAAAATGTTTCGTAACTGTATTTCATCCTTCCGATTGATGTAATCAAAAGGGCAATTCTCCCAAAAAATCTTGGAACCTGGGACATCTTCATCCTCGTTCGCTTTGAACTGATTCGTCACATTGTTTGCCAATTTTTTCAGATGAGTGAGCGATTCAGCACCCAACTGATTCAGGATACCCGGTAACATTTCTGTGATCTCTGAAATGAACAGGACTCTACTACTACTGGACAAAGCACAAGACCGAGAAGCTCGCAACTTAAGAAATACTTTTTTTTTTTCATTTTTACCTTAATTTATTACACTATATTTAGCTGCCCCTGCCCAAGAGGGAACTATACGATTAAATTTTCCATTCAATCAAGCAAAACAATCCCTCTTCCTGCCCCCCCCCCCCC